TGTCACCTGCCCAGGAGCCGAACCCCTGGCCCCCAGCACACCTGGCTCCGCGGTTGGGTGGGGCCCGGGGACCTGCGTCCCGAGAGGGACTGAGCCCCAGCAGCCCGGGCTCCAAGAAGGAGCCAGAAATCCCATTAGGACCAGCGTCAGGGCGGCCAGGCTGCCGGGAAGACTTCCTGGAGAAGGAAAGGCCGGGGCCTCGGGGGGCAGGGGCGGGTGGGAGCAGTGCCGAGGGAGGTGGGCCTGCGGGGAGCCCAGCCTCGGGGGGCAGGGGCGGGTGGGATCATTGCCGAGGGAGGTGGGCCTGCGGGGAGCCCATCCGCCCCCCACCTGCAGGTTGGTGAGGTCCCAGGCGCTGTAGTCCTCGGCGCGGCAGGGCCTGGGGAAGGACGGCCGGAAGTCCACCTTGACCAGCTCCCACTCGGAGCGGTAGCTGATGTGGCCAAAGATGCTGGAAGCGAAGGGGCAGGAAACCGTACGTGAGCCCATCCGTCCCCTCGTCCTCGTGGCCTCAGTTCCCACCTGACCCGGGGCCACAGGGACCCCACTGCCGCCTGCTCAGCCTCAGACCCAGACGCCCCGGCCAGGCCCCGGGGGCTCAGGGAGCGCCCGCCCCTGCCCGCCTGGAATTGGGGTCCTCGCTGTGTGACCTGCCTGCGCACCCCTCAAAACCGCCAATAACAACAACGGTAACAGTAATAGTAAGGCGCCAACTCGAGAGGTGGAACGGGCAGTGGCCCGGAGGCAGCTGGGACTCTGGCTGCCCCTCTCAGCAGCCAGGAGGTCTGGGCAGGGAAAGGGTGGCCCCAAACAGGGACAGATGACGAGTGGCCACCCTGGTGGCCGGGGAGGCCGGGACGAGGCCGGGGAGGCCGGGACGAGGCCGGTGAGAGGAGGAGGGGAGAGCGAGGGAAGGGGTCTGGGGAGACCGGTGAGAGGAGGAGGGGAGAGCGAGGGAAGGGGTCTGGGGTCAGCGTTGAGCCACCTCAGAGCAGCGGAGGCTAAGGTGGCCCTCGCCCAGCCTCCGGGGGGTCAGCCCGCCCCCGCCCCAGGCACTCACGTAATGACCAGCGTCTCCTCGCCCGGCTCGCTCAGCAGCCCGTCCACGAACACGGAGGTGTCGGTGAAGTTGTAGGTGCTCCACGTGAGGCCCTCGTCCGTGCTGAACCTGCGGACAGGGAGCGCCAGCGTCCGCGGGCAGCAGGGGCCTTCCCGTGCCCAGCTCCGCTGCCCCCCTGGACCAGCCCTGCCTGTGCCCGGGGACCAGCGCCACCAGCTGAGGCGGCCGGAAGACCAGCGTGGAGGGAGCCATGTGCCCCCAGGGCCAGCCCAGCACCCAGGCCCCAACTGGACCCCTGGCTTTGCTCTCTCCTGGGAGGCCAGCAGCAGCCACCTGCCGGCACCAAGTGGCATCCACATCTGCTTAGCAACAACACCAAGGCGTCACGGTGCTGCCTGGCACCCCTGGATCGCAGCGCCCCCAGCGCCTGAGCTGGCCAGGGCTGCTGGGCCAGTGAGCAGCTTACTGCCTCCAGCGCGGCGTATCACGGTGCTGCTGGCTCTGCGTGCAGAAAGCTCTTTCAGACTAAAGTGATACTGGCTTCCCGGCAGCTCCCCGACTCTGCCTTCTGGATCCAGAGTTCAGACCTGCCCTCCCTGCCCCACGCGCCCGTCAATGTCCAGAGTTGATGGCAAACCCTCTCTCCCTGAACACAAGCTGTTGGATTCCCTATCTGGCCCCACCTCCTCTACTTAAATAATTCCTATTGATGCTGAAGTCACCTCCTCCGGGAAGCCATCCTTGCTCCCCTAGACCACAGCGGGGGCCTCTTCTGGGCCCGGCAGCCCCAGGCTCCCTCGGGGTGCTGCACCGTCCCCTGTTTCCTTGTCTCCCCACCCCCAGCCCAGGGAGCTGCTCGG